ATAGCAACACCATCAACCTGACGGAAACAATCGTCTTCAAATGTAAACCTAACATCACTAGTACATGGAAGTAATAAATCCCTTGTCAATGTGCTAATCCCCAACGCATAAACTTGCTAAATGGCTAGTAGAATTATTGCATGCAGTCAAAACACAATTTTGTAAGTATGTGTTAAAAGATACATTTGAATTGGTTAATTGTCTTGACGATAGTAATATTAATATTATGAATAAGAATATGTACTTTTTTGATGTAAACTCGTTATTCACTAATGTGTCTTTGCTCAAAACAGTTGACATTTTGGTGTTGTGATTACATTTCCACAAACAATTTTTTCATCCCGCTCCCTATATCTCTTATTTAAGGGATTTATTACTTCTGTGTACTAGTGATGTTCGGTTTACATGTGAAGACGAGTGTTTCCGTCAGGTTGATGGTGTTGTTATGTGAAATCCGTTAGGGCCCCTTTTAGCGGGTATCTCTATATGTCGTACACTGGGAATTTATCGGAGGATTTAATCCAAAATGTGCCACTTTATAGAAGGTATGTAGATGACATTGTAATCGATTAAAAATGCCCATTAAAATTTTCAAAAGAATAGACACTGAACAAAGAGAACTCTTTTCGATAAATTCATCATCAGGTTCTACAATTATATATACATTATAATGAATGAATGAATTAGTCTTATGAACGACATTAATGCTGTTTAAATAACATCAAATCAATAATATTGATAAATTACAGCTGAACAGCATCAACATAAAATAAACTGAATGTCAGAAGAATTAGGAAAGGTAATGGTACAAATTCATGAGTTTATAGTCTCTACTGAGGGCCAGGGCAGTAGTAGGGACTGGACTTGTTTCTTTTGAACACAGAGCGCTGGTTGTTTGAGGCGAATTGCAATAGCCTCTGCTGTTTGGAGCAAGTGGTGCTTCGACGATTTTGGTAGTTTGTTAGGCACCCGGTATATTGTGGAGAAGGATTCGTCTACGCTGGCTTTGTGACCGGTTTGCACCAGATATTGTAATCATCAGTGATCAGTCTTGTTCTGCCAGCTCAATTTTAAATTGAATGAATGAAGTTCAAAATGGCATATCACTTACATCCGTCTGTAGAAGAGGAAGATAATTGTTTATCTTTCCTAGACATATTGCTTAGTCGACGGCTTGATGGGTCAATAAAAGGATCTATTTATAGAAAACCTACCTCGACAGGACCATGTCCTTATAATGTTCATAGCTAAAATTACAAGTTAATTCAAATAGTGTTACCATATGTAGATTACAAATAGGAGAGGATCAAAAAAGAGCCACTTATTTTGCTTAATAACATAGTAATTCGTAGGTTTCACCCATAGAGTGTCGTTGAGTTTTTGTACTGAGTTATACGACTTCTAGTCCTACCCTACCGATGAGATGCAAGGGAAGATTTGTGAATAACGAGGGGTGTTCAAAGTCAGACAATATAGATTTAGCCCATTTCTCACAAGGGTTCAAATGACTGTCGATTGCAGGAGTAACTACTTGACTTGGTAACACACACACGCACACACACCACTTGCCCTACTAACAACCTTTAATGTCCTTCACAATATTATTATTATCATTCCCTTGCGTTCCGTGTGGAATATAGGACTTCAACAACACATTTCCACTTGGTTCTGTTTTCTACCGTGCTCTTCAGCTGGGTCCACGACTGACCAAACCCTCTCATCTCTTCCTCACACAATCTCCTCCATGTCACCCTCGCATTGGCGACCCATTCATCGCTTCCCAACGGGATTCCACTCGAGCGATGGCCTGGCGTGCGATGTCATTCGGTGGCCTCCTCAATGTATTCCCTATCTATCTCCACTTACTGCTATATATTTGTTGAGCGATCAGCTCTTGGGTGGTTCGTCGCCAGTCAGAGTTTCTTGTTGCTTATTCTTTCTGGCCATTTGATCTTCAGTATGAAGCCAGCCAGCGAAGGTGGCAGCTGTTGATGAAAGTTTGCAACTGGCTGTTGGAAATGCTTTTCGTGACACACAGAACAAGTTTCTGACCCGTATAGAGGAACCAACTGACCGACTTCACATTGGTGTTGAAAATCCGAATCTTGTTCCTTATGCTGATTGAGTGCAGAAGATTTCCAAATCGCTTTCAGGTTGATGAAGGCGTGCGTATCTTGCCTTTCTGACTCTGACTTTGACATCTTCTTCCGTCCCACCTGCCTGTGGTTGAAACGACGCTTTCTAGATAAGTGATGGTGATTGGCGCTGGTTGTTGTTGCTGTTGTTTGGTTATCTTCATCACCTCTGTCTTCTCTGTGTTCACCCTTCACAATATGACACAGCCTTTTTTGATTAGTCTAGGAAAGACTGATGATGAGCAATAAAAAACCGTGGGTAAGATGCAAGAGTTTACAAACTGTAAAAGTCGAAGTTGAGTGATTTTTGATTGTCTTTCTTTCAATGTAGAAGCTTAGACGAGACATTTTTCTTAGAAATTAACGAGATATGGGACGATCAAGAAAGACTGAAGGATAGAACTATCTGAAGATATTTAATGCCTGACTTAGTCTCTATTTCAGTACCGTCTACGCTACAAGCATCTTATGAATGGGCCAATTTTTGTAGATCACGTTCATGCCTAAAGGTGAAGTTAACAGTCTAACGTTTAGAGGGATTTAAAGTAAGACTATTTAGTTTAAACCACTGGCTGATGTCTAGCTTGATTTTATATTGATTTATCACTAGGAGAGGGATGGTGGTGATTAATGTCTCATGTCTCCAGAAAGCTCTCTATCTTGATGCACTTTTTGAATTAGTGTTAAAAGCTTTTATTCTACCATATTAAAACACAGACATGATGCATTATAGACATTAAGAGATGCTTCAGGCAACATCGTATAGTTTGTACGAGAGTTGGGACACTCTACTCAGACTGAAGTAGGTGGTTGTCTCAATGAGCCACCACCCTCCCAGCATTTGACTTAGAGTTTGATCCACCAGGCAATGGAACAGCGTCAGGAGCTACATGTCCCTATAGTTCCCAGTCACCAAAACAGTTTCATACGCCAATCGTTCTGTTCGAATTCTGGAGTACAGACGTTCTCATTCGCCCTTCCATTTTTGTGTGGAATACCTGCCACGCTGCGTAAAAGCAGTGAATAGGAATTGCCTTGCTGATGTAGGCTGTGAACGTGTGACCATTTAAAGAACATCTCGAGAAGAGAACTGAAATCCTTTCCGCCAGTTGGACTGGGTCGTTAATTGCGGCAGTGTTAAGAGATTGGAGGTAATTGAAAGGAAGCCACATTGTAAAGTTGACTGATAGAATTCAATTGACACTAAGGAGTGTGAACAGATGTCATTGATAACTTTCTAAGGATCAATCAAGGTGTCCATTAGATTTGTCCAAGTGGTTAGTCAGTCATTCGCAGACACTGAATGGCTCAGTGGTCTTGAACGTGACTGTAGCACTGTGTGATGCGGATTTGAATCGCATAGGGTAGGGGGCATCAGTCTTCTCAAGATTACGTGTAAACTAAACCTAGGTGGAACGAGACTTCCTGCCGACTGTCTCCAATCATTTCTCAGTATTAATTTATGGGGACTTGATTGATTTCAATAATGATCACCAACTGACTTACTTACTTTTTTTACTTTACTTCGGCTATCTCCTACGGGAGGATGAGCCGGCTTCATGAACATCTCAAATCATCGCTGCCCAGGCGCGGCGATCTGATGAAGAGAGTTCATGAAGTTTCATGGGAATTTGGTACGAGTGATGTCCCCAGAATCGCTCAGCCTTTTGTTTGAAAGTGCAGCTCTAGCCATTACACAACCGAGTGTGACCTACAAGGCAGTAGGAGTGGAGTAGGGAGTCCACTATCCATTGGCAGCCGGTGACCGGAGTTCGGTTCATACGCCTTTTTGAATGGGGCCAGACATCCAGGACATCCAACAAGCCCTTTGTCCATACGTCTGCCGGTGAGCTCCAGTGAGCTTCATACGCCAGTCGTTGGAGGTTTGGAATCAGGGTTTAGCCATCTCCCCTAGACTGTCATCCAACGGACAGTCAACCCGGTGAAGAGCGCCGGGCATCCGCTTTCGCCCTCTCACTTTGGTGAAAAACACCTCCGCCACGTGAAGGCAGTGAGTAAGACTTCCTCAGGAGAGGCTTTGTAAGACGCCCGGTCATATGGGAGCATTTCAAGAGGTGTGCGGAGGGGTAGCCAACCCGCAGCGCAAAGCACCCACCCCCGACCATCCTGAGGCTTTGGAGGCTGACTGTAGCTGAAGAACTGCTGAAGACGTCAAAGTACTGAACAGTCGTTTCTTCCTAGTTTGAGACTCTTCAGCATTACGAACCCAGGACTTTCAGGTTACAAGACAACCTTGTAGACCATTCAGTCAATGGGACGGGATCCAATAGGCCATGAATTCGGACTTTCGCTAATTCATAATACATAAGCTCGACCGACCGTTATCGAATGTCATCGGCGGGTATTCGTCCTCACACGCGACTTGGTTGGACTCTGTTGGACTACTCTCTAGAACTCCAAACAACTTCGTCCTGTAGTCAGCCGCTGGTGGTGAGTGCTAGATCAATTATAGAGTTTTGCTTTCAGGGATTGAATTTTTCTTTTTTGATTACAGCTTGATTCCACGCCGTATTTTTTGGTACAGGTATGGAATTTTCAGCACGTGATATCGGTAGCCCAAATTTTGCAGACCGACCATAGATATCAGGTGTGCGTTGGCAGGGGATCGAACCCAGGACTATGTGCATGGTCGGCGACAGTCATAACCTCTGTGCCACTGACGCACACAGGATCGATCATAGACGGACCTCAGTTAGAGAATGATGGAAAAACCAGGTTGTTTTTTAATCTGGAATTAGTCAATATACCTCAATTTTTATGTGTTTTTAATTTTTTAATTGTCTCATTTGTTAACTCTTTTTCCTTCTTTCTCTTTTTTGAAATTTACCTAAAATATATCTGTAGCTGTTAAACAACGCCTACAAATCTATAACAGTCCATATCATAATTCATTTGATTGTCTACGTCGTATTTGTGTAACAGAAGGGCCAAGAGCATTGTATAAAGCCTATTTCACTCAGTTATCAATGAATATCCCCTATCAGACTATACATTTTGTGTGTTATGAACAAGCCCAAAGTGTACTGAATCCAAATCGTCAATATCTACCCTGGTCGCATATATTATCCGGTGGGATAGCTGGTTGTTTTGCTGCAGCTTTTACCAATCCATTGGATGTATGCAAAACAATGTTAAATACACAGGTAAGTTGTGGTGTTTCATTTCCGCTCTTCCTTCCTTGTTTGTTTGTTCGTTTGTTTATTTGTCCAGGGAAGATGTAAGAGCATACGGATAGTTGTCATCTGAAGGGATGTCCGTCAGGAGGGATACTCACTATCCTCATTTTTTGTTCGATTTCACCATAGGTGTATTAGTGGAGTTGACTTTAATTGTCTTTAGTGATTGACTTGTTATCTGTTACCTGGGAATAATCTCGTTGACTGAGAATATGTGGATGATATAGTCCTTCAAGGTGGTGAAGACGCTGAACACTTGCACAGACATCAGCCAGCCCTAGCTCATTGATCGCTGACGAAATCTCAGCACCGATACAGGAAGCTCGTTTAGCATATGCCAATTTACGCCATCTCTGGCTTAGTGAACGTGATATCCAGCAGTCGACCAAACTCCTCAGTAGTTCGCTCTGTCTTCCTTTATGGCTGTGAGATGTGGCCATTTAAAGTGGAAGAAATGAAAAGGCTAGTTAACTGTCTTTGATCATAGGTGCCTGCATTGTGTCTCCCGTGTCCGGTGGTAGGTGTAATAGGGTGGGCAATGTTGAAGCGTCGGTCAAGTGCTAGGTAATGGGCGGAAAGACAAGTCAATCAACGAGGTTGTGAAGTAGCCGCATCGATTAAGATGGTTAGGACATGTGTTACGTATGTTTGGAAAACACAAAAGATTGAGCGAAGAAATATTTACTTTTCAATTAGATCCTCTTCTCTGGCTCTACTCTAATATATATAGCATTTTTACAATACACAACAATTTACCAAACAAGTGGTGATATGTTTGTTAACAATATTTAAACAGTGTCGAAATGTCAATGGGTAGATAATTAACGCAGAAAATCAATACACATTTAAAAAAGTAGAAATGGATAGAATAAATTAATTACAAGAATAACACGTAATTAAAGATGAAGCGGTCAAAATAAAAATAAAATAATTTGGACAATTATAATTTAATAGGGGGAGGGGAGCGACGTAGTCCTGTCTTGTAAGGATGGCCACGGTAAGCAAAGTGGCTGTACAAATTTCTTCTGTACACATAGGCTTGGCTTCTTAAGGTGGATTCCGATTGCCTAGCCATCGCCTTCCTTGACAACAAGCAATGTTAGTTGACATAGGATGGATCATGTTGGAAAATAGCTAGCACGTGGCGGTCAAACGAAAGCGTTGCATCATCAGCCATAGCAGTTAGTTTACGCCATCCAGTCACGTAGGAAGATGAAGACTGCCTGACTTTTTGGGGTTCTCAGGATAGTAAAAACCAATGGCTGGAGACAATTGATGATATGGCTCAAAGTGATCGTTCTCAATGTCTGGTGCAGATTCATTGACTCACTCTTTGTGATTTGTCATGTCCAATGAAACTCTATTCTTCTTCTTTTTCCATATAACTACCATTCTTTTCCCCTCACTCACACTTCTGTTTATGATTTCTGTTTTGAATCTTTCCTTACTCTCTTCTCTTGCTGTGTGCTACCTGCTACACTACTGTATGTCTCCGTTCTATAAACCGGGGAGGAGGAGAAGGAGATTAGAAAAGGTCAACCCCGAAAATTGTACATCACGACTAACCTTGCAGTTTGGTAGTTCTATAGCCGGTGGTAATATGCATGTAACTCCAAAAACCATTTCAGTCACAATGTGTCACAAACACTGACACAAATTATGCATATTTCATATTGTCCAGTGTATATTACCTAATAACTTTGAAGTGTTAGGTAACGTTTTCTCAAACAGTAGTAACCCACGATTAAATGGATACTTTTGAAATTGATAATAATAATAATAGTAATAATAATAAACTGAAATTGTATGTTAGTAACCGATCAGTTACATTCATGTTCATTCACACTGACAACTAGAAATTACCCTTGATTGATTGATTTATTGATTGATTGTGGTGAAATGATGACCATCTAGTTAGGGGGTAGGCGTTGGATCTTATAGCTGAGCTGAGCTTAGAGATCACTAGACGAGTGATTTAGAGAGACCACCTAGTTTGAATCTCGTTGTGACTGGCTGACTGACTGAGTTTTAACATAGAACTTTGCACAGAAGGACAGCAGTTTGAGTTGCCACACTCTGTTTAGCAGCACACAAAGATAGAGAAAAGAGAGAGATTTAAATGAGCTATAGTCAGCATTAATATATATAGGAGAGAAAATGGTAAAACGAATTTATTGGATCTCTGAAATTATGAAGAGTGAATGCATTTGCTCCTCTGGGAACGGTTTTTAACCATTTCATCAATAGTCTCAAGCTATTGGTTCTTGGTACATTGTGGGCCCTATAATCAGGCGATCTACAGTTGGCTGTGTGTGGGTGGTTCGAACCCGCTGTCAAAGATTTCATGGACTGATTCCGTAAAGTATCAGTCAACGTAATTCTACGTTCGTCAGGCGACTTGGTGACTCAGCGTACGCAACTCGTGTCCAGGCCATCTCAATCGATGTGACTGTACAACTTCATCGACTGAGTTTCCTCCCCTACGTAACATCCTCCGCCTAAGCTCAATATTTCTCACTATATTATGCCACCTAAAATGGGAGATAGTACTCAAATATCTGTGGTTAAAAATAGCTATTCTTTTCATATATTCCACCATCAATGGCTATGTCTCACAGCTGTAAAGAGGGATAAGGTGAACTGGTACGCAGTATACGTGTCCTATGATCCATATCGGGATATCACTGACGTCTGTGCTAGAGATGATGTAAGGTGGGAAATGGCACTCGAGCCATTTGTATCCTTACTGACATTAGGACTGATGAAATTCTGAAATAATTGAAGTGGTCAACGCACTGAACTACTTCACTCCATATTAGATGGTTGGAAGCAATCGGCCACAGGAATCCCAGCCAGCCGACCTAGGTTTCGTGGTAGTTGGCACTCGTCAACAAAGCGTATCTGCGTTATCCAGTGAGAGCTGCAGTCAGAGACGTTACCACTGAGCTGTTTAGGCTCGTGATTGACCACCTGTAGGACTGTATTGGACACTAGTAACTAGTGTGATGTGTCTAGTCCTTTCTTCACTCTATGCGTTTAAACTAGAAATTGGTGTAGTGCAGTTCTACAGCATCATCTTACAACTGACAGGAGTGAATGACATGCGAAACATTTGAAGATTTCTGGTTAAGAGGTGCTCAGAAGACCTTGCATTTTGTTAGCATCTTCACGTCGAAAGGATATTGTTAGCAGACGAGATTATGCCAATGGTAACAAGTCATTCTGTATGTAAGTCGGTAAAGCCATCTATTGTTCATTCTATTGTGATGACTCAGATTATCATTCGACACCTTCAGTCAGCATCCATTCCATTTATTTTTATTCCTTCACGTTCCCAGTGGAACATAGGGCTCCAAGCTAGAGGCTTGAAGTTTCTGTAGCAGTGATTAATTTTACAGGATAGGGTTGCTAGCCTCATGCCCAACCTTTCCCCTCTATCAGTTTTATTACTGGCTTAGTGAGGTAAAGGAATGCGTCGGCCGGGGTTCGAACCCCGAACCATGTGCATGGTCAGCGAGCGTCCTAACCGCTGCACCACCGACGCACGATTCCATTAATAAATAGTATTCTGATAATCGAAAGCCTGTCTATCTATCCATCTAAGATTGTTCGTCACTACCAATAAAGCAACATTATCTGTGAAAGCCTACGGAGAGTTGTCATCTGAAGTGGTGACAAATAGTGGCGTCCATCAGGGATGCTCACTATCCCCATTTCTGTTTAATGTCATCATAAACATGCTCATGAACTTAACCCTGACTGAATTCAGCGACTTAGGGATTTACTTGTTACCACCTGGGAAGAATCTCGTTGACTTAGAATATGTAGACGATATAGTCCTGCCTCCTAGGTGAAGACGCTAACAAAATGCAGTTTTCTGAACAACTTGACAGGCAGAAATCCTCCAATGATTGGCATGCGATTCACTTCCTCTGTCAAATGTAAGATGATGTGATGCTACAGGACTGGACAACATTGATTCATAGCGTAAAAACAGAGAGTGAAATGGTATAGCGCGTTGACCACCTCACTTATTCTGGGAGTTGCATCAGCCATCCCCTAGTGTGTTGATCTCTGACGAAATCTCAGCACGGATAAAAAAGGCTGGTCTGGCGTTTCTCAGCCAACTTACGCCATCTCTGGCTTAGTAAACGTGATATCCGGCTGATTGTCGACTGAAAGATGTGTGTACTGCCCAACAGTTTTCTCCGTTCTGCTCTCCCTTCTGTGGCTGACTGTGAGACATGGCCAGTGAGAGTGGAAGACATGAAAAAGCTGGCTGGATATGTTTGATCATAGGTGCCTGCTTTACATCTCCCGTGTTCGGTGGTAGGTGTAATAGGGTGAGAAATATTGAGGTTAGGCATCCGTCGAGTGTTAAGTTAGGAGGGGAAAGTCAAGTCAGTCGACGAGGTTGTGAAGCAGCTGCATCGATTGAGATGGCTAGGACATGTGTCATGCATGCTTGCTTAGCCTTTTCCGTCCTCAACGAGCAGTGTTAGCTAACATAGGATGGATCAGGTTCGGAAAAAGCTGGCACATGGTGGTCAAACTAAAAATGGTTTCAGCAGTCAATGAAATCCACAACAGTTACTTTAAGTCAGCTAGTCACGTAGGGAGGTGTATACTTCGTGGTTGGGGTGTTCAGGATGATAAGAACTATTGAGGACTGAAGAGAATCGGTGATATGGGTCAAAATCCCAGTTCTCAATGGCTTTAGCAGATGCATTCACTACATGTAATTTGTCATATCCAATAAAACTGTATTGTTCTTCCATATTACTATTCTTTTTCCCTTCCTCACAATTCTCTTTATTATCTCTGCTTTGAATCTTTCTTTACTGTCTTCTCATAGTCTGTGTGGTACATGGAGTGTAGTGTCACAACTTGAACTGGTGCACGCACATCTGTGCAGTGTTCTACGTTGAAACCAGTAAGTCAGTCAGTCAGTCAATCGATGTATTCGCATTTCAAAGTACTAGTAAAAATAAGCCTTTCCACCTTGATTTTCCACTTGAGAACTCTTACGACTTGTATCTACAATAATTTTAGTGCTGTGTTATCTAGTAGTGTGATAGTGTTATAGAATTAATGGAATAATGCGCCATGATATATCTTCTTAAGTTAATCACTCACTTTGAAGTATAAGATTGTACTTCAGAATTCGTTTTTTATCGAAGTTCATTTTAAGGCTATAAAATTAACGAAGAGCATATTAATGACATAATTCCACTTACTTGTGAAGTTGAATAAGTTATTATGGGTAGGGGATGCTATATACTACTAATTGGTCAATCGTGAGTAGTTGGATATCACTTACATCGACCAGTGGTGCTTGCTAGCTAGCTAGCCAGCTAGTTAGATGGATAGATAGCCAGATCTGACTGACTGACTGGTTTGAATATAGAACTTTGCATCGATGTGCAGTAATTCGAGTCGCCACACTTCACTCAGCATACAGACCCAGAGATGAAAGTAAAAAGAAACGCAAAATAGAGACAGTAAACAAAGGTATGAGGCAGAAAGAATAGTAATATCGAAGAACAATATAGTATTTATTGGGAATTTTAAGTCACAAGGAGTGGATGTATCTGTGCCAGCTATTGAGAACGAGGATTTTGAGCCATATCACCAATTGTCTCCAGCCATTGGTGTTTACTGTCCTGAGGACCCCAACCCGGAAGCCACTCTACACCTCCCTACGTGACTGGCTTAAACTAACTGTTGTGGATTTGATTGACTGATGAAGCCATGTTTTGGTTTGACCACCACTCACTAGCTATTTTCCAGTTTGATCCATCCTGTGTCAGCTAACACTGCCAGTTGTAGACGCCTTAGGCTAGGCATGCGTAACACATGTCCTAACCACCTCAATCGATGTAACTTCACAGCCTCATCTATTGATTTCTCCTCTTTGCGCGGCACTTGACCGATGACTAAGCTCAGTATTTTTCACCCTATTACACCTACCACTGAACACGGGAGAAACAATGCAGGAATCTATGATCACAGACAGCTAACTAGCCTTTTCATGTCTTGCACTTTAAATAATCATGTCTCACAGAAAGCCATAAAGGATGAGCAGAACGGAGAGAACTGCTGAGCAGTACACCCATCCTTCGGTCAATAGTCAGCCGGCCATTACGTTTACGGAACCAGAGATGGCGTAGGTTGGCTGAGAAACGCGAAACGAGCCTTCTGTATGCCTACTCAGGTTTCGTCAGAGATCAACGCACTAGGGGTGGCTGATGCAACTCCCAAAATAAGGGAAGTGGTGGTCAACACACTCCTTCCACCACTTCATTCCTATCTATCTTCAGGTAGGAGTGAGTCGATGTACGTAGTCCGGTCCTGTAGCATCATCTTACATTTGACAGAGGAAGCGAATCGCATGCCAATCATTCGAAGATTTCTGCTCAGCTCAAGTTGTTCAGATAACTGCATTTTGTTAGCGTCTTCACCTAGGAGGCAGGACTATATCGTCTACATATTCTAAGTCAACGAGATTACTCCCAGGTGGTAACAAGTCAATCCCTGAGTCACTGAATTGAGTCAGTTAGGGTTAAGTCCCTTAACACATACATCTATGATGGAATTAAACAGAAATAGGGATGGTGAGTATGCCTAACGGACACCTAGTTGTCACCACTTCAGATGGCAACTCGCCGTAAGCCTTCATCTGGCTGCATGAATTTGAGTAGAATGCCTTGATCAGTGCATCGCCAGAGTACCTGTCGGTCGACAGAATCGAATGCCGCCTTTAGGTCAAGAAATATAACTATTGTTGGACGCCGGTGAGTATACCTATGTTCCAGAATCTGTCGGAGGGTGAAGAAATGATCAATACATCCTCTTCCTGGCCTAAAACCTACCTGGTTTTCTCGTGTTTGTGCCTCCCGAGCACCACTTAGTCTACGCATGATTATTGAGCCTAGGACTTTAGATACCGTATTAGTCAAGCTAATCCCCCGAAGATTATCACATGATGGTTTGTCTCCCTTCTTTTATATCGGGATGATCAGGGACTTACACCAACCCGACGGGACTTCCTCTGATTCCCAGACGCTGCCTAGAACCTCAGTTAATGCAGACAGTAAACTGTCTCCACTGTACTTAAATACCTCTGGAGTCAATCCATCAGGTCCCGCTGCTTTGCGTCGTTTCAGATTAGTAACAGCTTTAGTAACCTCAGTTAAGGACGGAGGACCTGTGTCTATGTCTTATTCAGGGAGGTGTTGGATGTTCGGCAGGTTGAGCGTGGCTGTAGGCCAATTCAACTGCTCTTCAAAGTGTTCTTTCCAACGTCCTAGCCATCTATCCTGGGAACTAATCATGGTGCCATTTTTCTCAGAGATTGTTTCACTTATCATTTGCCTTTTGCCACCTGTTTCCCTGATAAGCCTGAATAGTTGTCTGGTGTTACCAATCGCCGATGCCTTTTCCATCTCTTTCGCTTTTGTCGCCCACCACTGTTCACAGTTGCCACGAAGACTTCTTGTTAGTTTTTATGTTTGAGTAGCTTTCGCTGTTCATCATAATCGGAGTTCACCGGAATCAGTCTTCTTGCGTCAATCATTTCGGATGAGTTGGTAGAAATCGATAATCAGATCGTAGGATGTAAACACCAGACAGGCTTTTCATGCATTTGAGACCCAGCTCATCAGCGGATAGTGTACTAATTGGTTTGACTCAGCTCGGAAAACGCGGAATCAGTTCAAATCATCCGTATTGTGCCTATCTAAATTTGCCCAAGTACATCATATATTAACTGGGATCTGAATAATTTCTGTCTCTGAAATAACATTGTAGTGAAATATCATCTGAAACTGGTGTAAATTGGAAATTTCGCATTCCATCGAAGTTATGTAGAGTTTTAATAACAATAATAATAATAATTTGCTTTATTCCAAAACAGTATATGTGATACAGAATGGAATTCTCAGTATTTTTACTACAGTATTGCATCCAGTTAGTACATTATCAATAAATAGAATTCTACATAGATTAAGGAAATCTCAGTTCATTATGACAACAACATATTGGCATGTCGGTAGCAAAGCCAAAGCTGAACAGTGTTTGAAGGTGTTAGAAAAGTTGGTGCTGTCATATTTACTGGTGTAAGCGGAAGAAAGAAACAAAGCAGCACATAACGGAAAAAGAGAGAAAAGAGAGAGAGAAAAGGAAAAGAAAGAAAGAAATTGTTGTACCTATAAATGATATGAGTTGGAAAGACGAGGTCCAGTTGTTCTACTGACTATTTAATGAATTATAAGTATCACGCCTAATGCTTTCTTTATCGCACAGAACACGAGCCAAGTAAGGTATGGTTGAGTTTTTGTACTTGCTGGTGCGAGCATATAGTTTTCTATATAGGCTTCTGGTTTTGCCTGATGAGATGCAAGGGGAGAGTTGTGAGTGAAGAGGGTGGTGTGAGTTAGATAAAATGGATTTGGCCCATTTTTCACATGAGTCCATGTGCCTGTCGACCAGAATATTAACAAGCTGGTTAAGTGGCACGTTGCTTACCCTGCTGACAACCTTTAACATCCTGAGTAATAAGGTATAGTCTTTCTTCAGTAGCCCGGGAAAAACTAAGGGGGAACAATAGAGAATAATAGGCAGAATGTCTATTATTACAGGTCTTATTTAATTTTCGTACGTACACGAAGAATGTCTACCTTACTTTTACTGGCTATCATTCAAATTTATCCAAGTATCTACTAAAAGTCTACTGTATTATACAACAATAGTATGCTTTTTCTTCTGCAAAGCTGAATAGTGTGCTATGGATTTTGTCAATTCACTAACTCACGAAAAATACCCATCCACACGTGAATATATAAGACATCAAAAGTTCAGCGAAGAGTCTCTTTTCGGCGAATTCCTTCGTTTAGCTGTACAATCTTATTGTCAAACAAAAATAAAAATTTGTTGGGATTATTGTTTTTATCATGAAAGTGTTTCAAAAATGTGATGAATAATCCAATTGTAAACTAGATGACCAACCAGGTTTGAATCTCAGAATGGACATGAATTCCTTTAAAGATTGAAGATATGCCTTGTTGACACTGGTAAGTGCTGACAAGCATGAAATCTAGGTGCGTTCAGGGCTTCCTGCCGACTGCCTCCATTCTATCTAACTAACTAACATATTCAGGGTATAATATTTTGCATTTCGTTCTCGATTAATTCTGGTTCTTAAACAAGCTTTTTTTGTTGTATTTCTTTATTTGTAGGACCGATGTATGTCAAAAACTCCATGCCGTGGTCATTTCACACAATCGTATAAACCTGAATTCCGTGGATTATTTAGTACAGCTAAATATGTCTACGAATTGGCTGGCATAAAAGGCTTTACTCGAGGCATGAGTGCTCGAGTGTTAACAGCTGTTCCTGGCACTGCATTATCCTGGTCAGTTTATGAATATTTTAAATGGCGATTGAAACAGCCGACAAAACCTACTTCTGGACCATCAGATTTCACTGGTGGTGCTAGTAGTGGTTCTGGTATCCATAAGATCGATATTTCACCAATGGAAAAGTTGTGTGTCACAGCTAGCACCACTAATTGGTTGCCTACCTCTACAGATCTAACATGTACAGCAGCAGCAGCGGTAACTACAAGTAGTAGTAGTAGTCCTACGACAACGGCGACGACTAGCCCACGAACAAGTAGTATACAGGAGAAGACTCGTTGAGTCATTTTCTACTACTTACATCCCCCCCCATGCAACTACTAACTGGCCTCCTGTGATGTGTGTGTGTGTATGTGCGTGTGATGATCAAGTATCCATTGCCCTAACGTGAGAATCTGCTTAATTAATTTTATCTCTGCTTTGCAAAAGTGCTGTATACAACAACAACAACACAGTCACTGATGGCGGTAGCTGTGGCGATCCTTCAGTCTTACAGTGAGTAGTCACCTAATTCTTCTCGTATACTTCAACAGAAACTATGTACAAAAAAGTAAAGCGTATCTCTTTTTGTATTATTATCATCATTTATTTCTTATCACAACCAACCCCCTCGCTCCACGTGTTAGGCGTCGTTATTATTATTATTATTATTATTTCGATTTATTTCATATTTCTACTCCCCTTTCCTTCTTTTGCGCCTTCGTCTTCCTTGTTCTACTGTCGCTTCTGGTTTTTTTATATAATCAGATGGCTTTTCAAGCCCCACATATGTACAAAATTGCATCCGTTTTGTTTTGTTTTGTAGTGAGTAGCCTCCTTCGTTCATTCAATCTTTCTTTCATTCTGTCTATCTCTCTGTGTGTCTGGCTTTCAATCTCCGGTTTATTTCAAGGATAAGACAAAGATCAAGAATGATAATATTATATACATATACATAATACTTACATATAATAAATAGATATTTTAAAGCTGTAGACCCCTTTGACATAATGGTTCTTTTTTTGATTTTTTCTTTTTTGTGTGTCAAACTGCAGCAGTACTGTTGTATACCGTGATAGGTAGATTAGATGGCGGGGGGGGGCTGGTGGTGATTGTGTAGGCTTGATTTCTGTAGTGATGCTTTGATTTATCCCACACCACCACCACAAGGTCCAAGGATCCCAGCTACTAAACGCGCTCTTGAATTTCACCTAGTCGGTAGGAGCCAGTAGTGACCCCGAACCCTGTAGAAACAATATCGATGCGAAAAAGTCAGTGCTTGAAATCCCCCCCTTCATGTGTTCCACACACTTCAAGGCTTTAATTATTATTATTTACCTATTAAAACACAAATTTGGTACATTTTGTGCACGAAGGGATGCGTCACACAAAATGTTGTAGTTTGTGGAATGGCTGGGATACTCTGTCCGGACGCCTTCTGTCTGTCTGTTTTCTACATAGAACTTTGCACCAATGTTCGGCAGTTCAATTCGCCACACTTACCCCATGTACCACACAAAGCAAGAGAAGGAGGAGAAATGCATAATATAGACAGTAAACAGAGGTGTGAGACAAAGGAATAGTAATAACAAAGAACAAAACAGCCATATTGGAAATCATAAGTCACAAAGAGTGGATGCATCTGCGCCAGGCAGTGACAACGACTTTGAGCCATGTCACCAATTGTTTCCAACCATTGGTTTTTACCATCCCGAGGGCCCCAACCAGGAAGTCTACATCTTCCTACGTGGCTTAGATTATCTGTTGTGGATTTCATTGATTGGTGCCATGTTTTGATTTGACCGCCGCTAGCTCTTTTCCAGCCTGACCCTATGTCAGCTAACATTGCCTGTTGTCTAGGAAGGCAGGCGATGACTAGGCATGCGTCTTAACCATCTCAGTCGATGTAATTTCACAGCCTCGTGTATTGATTTCCCCTCCTTACCTAGCACTCGACGGATACCTAACCTCACCCTATTATATCACTTCACACGGGAGTTAGAACGCAGACACCTATGATCGAAGACAGCTAACCTTTTCATGTCTTCCACTCTCAATGGCCAGGTCTCACAGCCATAAAGGAGGACAGAGTGGACTTCTGAGCAGTACACACGCGCTTTGGTCGATAGCCAGCCGGATATCACGTCTACGCCAGAGACGGCGTAAACTGGCATATGCGAAACTAACCCTCTGTATGCGTGCTGAGCTTTCGTCAGCGATCAACTCGTTGGCGTTGGCTGATGCAACTTCCCGAATAAGTGAAGCGGTCAATATGCCCTACCTCTTCACTCCCTATTTCTAAGCTAGGAGTCAATGTAGTCCAGTCTCCGGACGCCTTAACCGAAACAGATAGTTTTCTTAAGTACAACCCCTAGCCTTCGACTTAAGCTGTGAGCCACAGGGTAATGGAGCAATATCAGAAGCTACGTTCCTATTGTTATCTGTGGTGAAAACAGGTTCATACTCCATTCGGATTCTGGAGCCAATGTACATCGTAAGTTTGAAATCAGCGGTTTCCAGCTCTCCTAGGTAGATCTGCACGTCCACTAGAGTTCGATGGCAAGTTCCCAGATGTTTGCATCCTGCAACGCCGTGTGAAGGTAGTGAATGCAACTCACCTGACAGAGGAGGTTATGAGGTCTTGTATGCTTGAATCCTTAATCGTTAAATCTCTCAGGTGAAATATTTGAGTGGATGGAGTTCAAGTGAATTTCCAATCTGATAACCTACCAATCACAGCAAACCGGGCCTTGTTTATTTGAATAGCAGTGTATTCTTGTCAAAAATGTTTCGAGAAGTATGAGCGTTATTTGTTTAGGTCGATATTGTATTCCCTGTTGATTGATTACACACTGGACCGAAATGTTCGATCTCTCTTGACATGTCGTCTCCCAGTGGAGGAGGCTTCAACGATTTGTGTGGATGGTTACTAGCAGTGGGATGCAAAGTGCTTCATTTCGTCTTACCCGCGATTCTTCAGTTGGACGCACCTGCAGTACTCAGTGTATGATAATGATCCCAGCACCTATCGTTTCAAATCCAAGGCGTAGCCCAGTGGATAGCGCTTTTTCGTGTGTAAAATTAATGATTGGTGGGTACAGCATCACTTATTGGGGAGTGCAGTTGTATGCAGATGATGAAACCCAAGGTAGAACAAATTGTAAGCATATTTCTACAGATTGTCTTCCTATAATGTGTCGCCAGAATGACTCCAAGTTTCTCCTAGGAGTATGCGTATTCATCAGAATGTTTATTGTTCAAGGTCAGAATATAGAGCTTCGGGTTGTAACAACAGAAGACAAGGGACAGGCAACAGATCGTTTATTTATTAAATCAAGAGTCCCAAACTAGGACGAAACAGCTGTCCAGTACTCCCAGGTTCTCCAGTGGTTCTCTAACTGATGTCAGCTCATGATGAAATCCTCCATACAATTAGACAAAATCCCTACCAAACCAATACTTGAAAATCAACAAATATTTATAGATTTTCATGTACATTATTAGAGATTATTGTAACCAAACAAACATAGTCTTCTCAAGTATTGGTTTGGTAGGGATTTTGTTTGATTGTATGGAGGATTTCATCATGAGCTGACATCAGTTAGAGAACCACTGGAAAACCTGGGAGTACTGGACAGCTGTTTCTTCCTAGTTTGGGACTCTTCAGCAGTACGCACCCACCGGGATTCGAACCCAGGACCTTCTGGTTGCAAGGCGAGCTCGTAGACCATTGAGCCACTGGGACCCGATCCAATGGTCCTTGAATTCTAACTTCTGCCAATTCACGACATAGCGCGACCATCTCGCAATGTCTTCTTAGATGAGTTACTGTCACATCTTCAACCTGCTGTACCCTACTGGTCACGGCTTCCCACTGGAACCCCAGGTTAACTGCCTGAATAGGGCCAGTCACTGCTGAAGTCAGTTCCTTGTCAAACTGGGAAACGTAAAATCCGTGATCAACTCGTCAAAAGTAAAACTAACCCTTACAAACCAAACTATAGAAAATTAATCTGATGCTGCTCGCCAGTGACTTGCTACAGGATGGAGTTTCCTGGAGTTCTTTCTAGTGAGAAGTCGTGACCAGTGAGGTGCATCCAGATGTGAGGATGGATGTCCCACCAACGACACTGGTTGGGGTCGCGCTAAATCACGAATTGGTAGAAGTTAGAATTCATGAGCCATTGAATCGGGTCCCAGTGGCTGAATGGTATACGAGCTGGCTAGCCTTGTAACCGAAAGGTCCTGGGTTCGAAGCCTGGCGGCGGTGGGTGCCTACTGCCGATGATTCTCAAACTAGGATGAAACAGCTGTCCAGTACTTCGTGCTGGTTTTCAATGGTTCTCTAATTGATATCAAACCCTGATCAACTCGTAAAAATAAAATCAGGTATTAACTGCATTAACATACAAATATTGGAAATGTCTGAGTTGTCATTTGTTTGAACTGAATTACTGGGGCGTCATCGGAGAACACACGAATTGATCATTTCTACGTACAGTTTAGCTTTCATCACTGTTTTGACTATAGTACCTTCAGCACTTAGTAGACTGTTATCACTGATATATGTTCCTTGGGTTTCCAGTGTAGTATACGACTTCGGCAGCACGTATTTCTTGTACTCCGTTCTGTCATCATTTTCAGCTGGCTACATGACTCGCCCCCCCACACACACCCCAACTAGCTTTCTTTTTCTTCGTGTTAGAACAAGACATATAAGCGAACAATATTGCTGTTTTCAATTAGATCTTCTTCAGGCTTTACTCTAATTTACATAGACTTATATATAAAATTTTAACCAATGACGGTGATTTTGTGGATCAAATAATAATGTGGTAAATGTTTTGAACGTAATTAATAACGATGATTATAATGATAACAAGGTTTATGCTGGTGGCGATAAGAATAGCAAAAGTATTATATGCATATATGTGTATATGTAGACAATTCAATAAATAAATCAGGTCAAATCTTAAAAGGTGAAGTGGACAGATAATCAGAGTTTAAATAAATATCATAAAAATACGAAGGAGATGGAAAATAAGAAAGGGCGGGAGGGTTTTGAATAGAATTCACCTAGGTCAAGCGAGAGACAAAGTAGAACAAACTTCTTTTGTATGCAAAGACTAGGATTGTTCTCTCGAATTCCCATAGCTTCGGCTAGGTGTAAAAGACGGTTTCTGATTCCGTTCGAAAGGCTCGATGGAATGCGATAGATAACTTTGAAGGCACCATTTTTGTCCACTTGGTGACCGCTATCAATCAAATGAGCTAAAATAGAACTTCGTATGGATTTTATTTGACCTTTTCCGAACCATGAAGGAAGATGCTCATCAATGCGTTTGTTAAGCTGTCTAGTTGTTCGCCCTATATAGGCAGCTTTCTCTACACAGGAGCAATTAAATTTATAGATACACATAGAAGTGGCACAGCTAGGTAGCTTGTCTTTCACTTGAGCAATCATAATTGGTTGGCTGGAAAATGACAAACAAAGGGTGGTGGCGGCAGTACACGTCCGTTTTATTGCTCTCGATAATCTCAGATGTAAGACTTCGTTAGCCACGTCCCTATTAAATTGCAGTTCCATGAACAGTTCTTTCTTTTTAACCAATGTCAGTTTCTCTTTATTGTACCTGGTGTTCATGTGTCTCCCATTTGGAACAACGTATTTTGGATGTATCCTAGCTCATTTTCTAGGGAGTCATCTGTACAGATACGTCTTGCTCTATTCGTGAGGCATCTGACCAAGTTGATTTGATCCACAAAATCACCGTCATTGGTTAAAAATTTTTAAATATAATAATCTATGTAAATTAGAGTAAAGCCTGAAGAAGATCTAATTGAAAACAGCAATATTATTCGCTTATATATATCTTGTTCTAATATTAAAAATGGGAATATTTAAAGATTCTTCGTGTTACTCACGGACACCTAACTCCTGGCTTCCCATTTGGGCTTCACTCAAGGATCTGTCCGCTATGTGAAGTTACTCAAATATCATCTCTC